ACTCTATCCTGAGAAAGCAGAGACTCTGAAAAAGATTTTGGAATCACAGTGGATAACCACCTGAACATGAGCTCCCAGTGTGAAGCTGTGTCCAAAAGGGCTAATGTGATCCTTGAATGTATAGACAGGGAATCCTGAGTAGGAGTGGCAAGGTTATTTTACCTCTGTATTTGGCACTCGTGTGATCGCTGCTAGAATACTATGTCCAGTTGTGATGTCCCCAATTCAAGAAGGATGTTGATCAACTGGAGAGGGTTCAGAGAAGAGCCATGTTGGAGGCACTAAAGGATCAGAAGGATCTAAAGGATCAGAAAGCCTGCCTTATCCTGATACAGACTCAAGGAGCTCAACCTACTTAGCTTAACAAAGAGAAGGTTAAGGGGTAACTTGATTACAGACTATAAGCATCTATGTGGAGAACAAGTATTTGATAGTAGGCTCTTCAATCTATCAAAGCAAAGGTATAATACAACCCAATGGCTGAAACCTGAAGATAGACAAATTCAGACCTGAAATAAGGCATAATCTTTTTAAAGTGAGAGTAATTAGCCACTGGAACAATCTACCAAGGGTTGTGGTAGATTCTCCAGCACTGACAATTTTTACATAAACACTGGATATTTTCCTAAAAGATCTGCTCTAGAAATTATTTTGGGGCAGGTCTCTGGACTGTGTTGTACAGGAGGACAGCCTAGATCAGCGGTTCTCAAACTTTAGTAACCCGAGGACCCCCATTTTGATTTAAAATTTTGCTGTGGACCCTCAAGGCCCCTGCTCAGGCCCAGGGCCTGCCCCAACTGCACCCATTCCCCAAAGGCCCCACCCCTGCCCCTCCTCTTCCCCGCCTCTTTCTGTTCCCTCCCCTGAGCACCCCATCGCCCCTCTTCCTCCCAGGGACCTGGGCTTTAGCCCTGCACACAGCACTTCAGCTTTCTGCCATGGGCCCCAGTGAGTCTAACATGGGTCCTGCTTGACAGCCCCCCAGAAACCTGCTTGCGGCCCTCCCAGGGGACCCCGGATCCCTGGTTGAGAACCGCTGCCGTAGATTGTGAGCTATGTGGGTGAAGGAAGAAGATGGGTTTTCAAGGCTCAGGAACAGCCTGAAAGCTGTTCCGCGGCATGCAGAAGGCACTGGGAGGGAAGAGTTGATCAGCAGGGCCCATGGACCCCCTGGAGTACCCTTGCAGATGCCCAAGGGTCCATGGACCCCAGTTTGAGTAATGCTGGCCTAGATGATTGCAATGTTCCCTTCTGGCCTTGGAATCTATTAATCTATTGTGAAGCAGGGCAATGTGAGGCTTCAGAAGACTCTCTTTGCAATATAGAATAATATAATTAACAAAGGAAATTAAGTACTTTATATTCCAAAAGTAACTAGGCAGCATATTAAACAGCAACTCCTAAAGTTAAACATTTTAAATCCACAAGCCCAGATAAGATCCAGGCAACAGTTTAAGAAAAATCAGCTGTGGGTGCTCTCTGAGCCATTGACATTAATATTTAACAAACCGTAGCATACTAAAGAATTTCCACCAGACTGAAAAAAAAGGCAGTCAAAAAAGCAAATGGGATGTTAGGAATCATTAAAAAAGGGATAAGATGGAGAATATCTTATTGCCCTTATATAAATCCATGGTACACCCACATCCTGAGTACTGCATACAGATGTGGTCCCCTCATCTCAAAAAAGATATATTGGCATTAGAAAAGGTTCAGAAAAGGGCAAATAAAATGATTAGGGGTTTGGAATGGGTCCCATATGAGGACAGATTAAAGAGGCTAGGACTTTTCAGCTTGGAAAAGAGGAGACTAAGGGGGGATATGATAGAGGTATATAAAATCATGAGTGGTGTGGAGAAAGTGAATAAGGACAAGTTATTTACTTGTTCCCATAACATAAGAACTAGGGGCCACCAAATGAAATTAATGGGCAGCAGGTTTAAAACAAATAAAAGAAAGTTGTTCTTCACACAGCGTACAGTCAACCTGTGGAACTCCTTGCCTGAGGAGGTTGTGAAGGCTAGGACTATAACAGCGTTTAAAAGAGAACTAGATAAATTCATGGAGGTTAAGTCCATTAATGGCTATTAGCAAGGATGGGTAAGGAATGGTGTCCCTAGTCTCTGTTTGTCAGAGGGTGGAGATGGATGGAAGGAGAGAGATCACCTGATCATTACCTGTTAGGTTCACTCCCCCCGGGGCACCTGGCATTGGCCACTGTTGGTAGACAGGATACTGGGCTGAATGGACCTTTGGTCTGACCCAGTATGGCCATTCTTATGTTCTTATGTTAACGTAAAACTTTAGAGCCTACAAGTCCACTCAGTCCTACTTTTTGTTCAGCAAATCGCGAAGACAAACCAGTTTGTTTACATTTATGGGAGATAATGCTGCCCGCTTCTTATTTACAATGTCACCTGAAAGTGAGAACAGACATTCGCATGGGATGTTGTAGCAGATGTTGCAAGGTATTTATGTCCCAGATATGCTAAACATTTGTATGTCCCTTCATGCTTCGGCCACCATTTCACAGGACATAGTTCAATGCTGATGATGCTCATTAAAAAAAAAAAAAAAAGATGCATTAATTAAATTTGTGACAACTCCTTGGGAGGAGAATGGTCTCTTGCTCTGTGATTTTACATTCATTCTGCCATGTCATGTTATGGCAGTCTCAGACGATGATCCAGCACATGTTGTTCGATTTAAGAACACTTTCACTGCAGATTTGACAAAACGCAAAGGTGGTATCTGTGACAGATTCCCCCTGGGGTGCCACCTGGAACTGGGGTACCACTGAGCTCACTGATCCACCAGCCTGGGTTCCCTCTCACACTGTAGTGCTGTGACAAGCTGCAAAGCCCTCCAGTCTGCACTTTTACCAGCATTCCTACAGCTAGGGACACACCCAGCTGCAGTTACATGCAGGCTCTCTGACCAGACCCTGCATAGGAAGGCTACAGACAAGGCAACTCCCAGCTCCACATGCTCACACCCGCTCTGGAGTATAAACCCAAAATTATACCATCTTGCACTGCACAGGGAACTGTACAGCGTAGACTCACAACGTTCACCCCCCTCCCTCAGTGTGGAGAGGAGTATGCAACAGCCTTTGCCCCTTGAACTATGATTCCCATACACTTCACTCCAACTCACTGATTTAGATAAAGCAAAACAAGTTTATTAACTACAAAAGATAGATTTTAAGTGATTATAAGGGATAGCAAATAGAGCAAAGCAGATTATCTAGCAAATAAACAAAAACGCAAACTACACTTAATATACTAGATAAACTGGATATAAATTAGCAGATTCTCACCCTAGGAGAGGATACAAGCAGGCTGCAGATTCTTACAGGGCAAGCTGCACTTGCTTTACAGCTTGGAATCCCAGGTGTTTCATACACAGGCTAGAAATCTCTTTAGCCTGTGTCCAGCACTTTCCCCAGTTCAGTCTTTGTTCCTCAGGTGTTTCCAGGAGTCCTCGTGTGAGGAGTGAAGAACCACAGATGATGTCACTCTCTTCCTTATATAGCTTTTACATATGGCGGGAACCTTTTGTTCCAAAGCTTGATTCCCAGACCAGTCTGTGGAAAAATACTGACATCCCAAGATGGAGTCCAGCATCATTGTGGCCTGATCACCTGTCCTTGTAGAGTCATAGCAGCTTCACTTACAGGCTGTTTGGAGTGTTCTCAGGAAGACTCATCACCAGGTAGGAGATAAGCTTCTCCTAAGGCCTATTGTTTTCCCTAATGGCTCATTGTCCTGAATAGGCCCTTCCCAACCAATTATCTAGGCTGAAAGCATCTTGTCTAGTGGGCATTACTGAGGTGTAACTACATCTGAAATACAGATACAAAATAATACATGCATACAAATAGGGTAATCATATTCAGTAAATCATAACTTTTCCAATGGCAGCTCACATGACCCGTCTTGCATAAAATGCATCATAATTATGCTATTACAATATCCAAATAATATCATTATGAAGAATATGGGGTGCAATGTCACAGTACCAATGTGAGATTTCTAAAGGTAGCTACAGCACTTGACTCAAGATTTTAGAATCTGAAGTGCCTTCCAAAATCTGAGAGAGATGAGGTGTGAAACATGCTGTCAGAAGTCTTAAAAGAGTAACACTCTGATGCAGTAACTACAGAACCCGAACCCTCAAAAAATAAAATCAACTTACTGCTGGTGGCATCTGACTCAGATGATGAAAATGAACATGCGTCAGTCTGCACTGCTTTGGATTGTAATCAAGAAGAACCCATAATCAACATGGAAGCATGTCCTCTGGAATAGTGGTTGAAGCATGAAGGGGCATCCAAATGTTTAGCGTATCTGGCACGTAAATACCTTGCAGCACCGCTACAACTGTGCCATGCGAACGCCTGTTCTCACTTTCAGGTGACATTGTAAATAAGAAGCGGGCAGCATTATCTCCCGTAAATGTAAACAAACTTGTTTGTCTTCGTGATTGGCTGAACAAGAAGTAGGACTGAGTGGACTTGTAGGCTCTAAAGTTTCGCATTATTTTATTTTTGAGTGCAGTTATGTAAAAAAAAATTTACATTTGTGAGTTGCACTTTTACTATAAAGAGATTGCACAACAGTACTTGTATGAGGTGAATTGAAAAATACTATTTCTTATGTTTTTACAGTGCAAATATTTGTAATCCAAAATAATAAAGTGAGCACTGTGCACTTTGTATTCTGGGTGGTAATTGAAATCAATGTATTTGAAAATGTAGAAAAACATCCAAAATATTTAAATAAATAGTATTCTATTACAGCTTAACTGTGCAATTAATCATGATTATTTTTTAATCTTGCGATTAATGTTTTTAATAGTTTGACAGCCCTAACATATACTTAGTTGAGATTTTGCCCAAACCACTTCCAAAATTAAGTTAAATGATTTCCCTCAATTAATATTAACTGTGTATCCAAAACTGATTAAATGTTAGATGATTTAATGCCTTTCTTCAGATGAAGAGTTTAAAATTAGTCTTTATTTCTGCTTCAAGATTTGTTCCTTCAAGAATTGCATACAGAAGTATAAATAACAGACAAGCTTCAAAGGCAGACATATTTGCTGTGGTGAATTTCATTAATAATTGACTCTTCAGTACAACAACTAGAATTTGATTTAAAAAAAGCTGTAAATTACAGACTGTAGAAGCAGGTCTGTTCCTGTTGTGTGTGTCATGGAGTTACAGAGCATATTCTTCTGAACAGGCTACTACCACGATGATTCCCTCATTCTAATTTTCTACTTCTATTTTCTGTTTTTAGATTCCATACTCCAGTGCAAAAGCTCTACTCCAGTGCCTTAACCAAACAGCTGGTGAGGACTCTGCCATTCAGATCAGAGCACAGGTAAATCTATTGACAGAATAATTCAGGATTTCACAGCTGACCCAAAGATAGGTCATTTTTAGAAGTAACCCCAGTTCTCTGGGGTTTCCCAGGATGATCTGCACTAATGAAAATTAAATCACAAAAAGATTCAGACAAGTTTTCAAAAAACACAGAGCTGCAAAATAGCTTGGAGGGGTGTCGGGGGGAGAATACAAAGACAACAACAAATCAGGGGATACTAAAAAAAAGAATGCAGAAAGCATGAGAGAATTTATGCCATCTTGATTTCCATGCATTTGTTTTTGAGATGATGCTGAGATTTCCTTAAAATGTTTAATCAGTTGTTATCCTGAGTTTAATCAAGGTTTAAAAATTAAAGTATTAATAAATACAAAAGACATTTTCCATCTCCATTAATTCACCTTTGAAAGACATATAGTTTAACACATAATATTTACAAAATGCAGTGTTCAGAACAGCTCACCTCAGCTGTAAGTCTGCAAACTGACAAATCTCATGCCGCATTTTTCATTTGCTTCACATTCTCCAGTGTGCGAAATTGAAGAAAAAAACCAACAAAACCTTCCATCACTTGAAAAAAAAAAAAAAATAGCAGCTAGGACTAGGATTAAATTTGACAGCCAAATCTTTTCATGCTACCTGCACATTGCACAGTAGATAAATAAAATTTCCAAAAAACCTCTCAAAGTAATATGTCTTAGTTTTTCGGATTGAATGATGACCAACTGAACTGGTTTCTTCGTCTTGGCAACACTAAATCCAATGACAAATCTTTTTGCTCTTTCTCAGAATCCAGAAGTTTATAGCCAAGCATATTTATAGCACCTTTGCAGACTTCTTGTACTTTCTTAATTTTTTGGAAGGAAAGAATATTCCTCCAGGCCTGGGAAACGTTAACTGCATCTCGGGAGGTGATTTTGAAGGCTTCCTTTTTCTTTCCTGGTCCCTGGCCATGTGTGATATTATAGATCCAGCTTTCAAGTTTGGGGGTCAGTCTAAGATCTGCAAATTTATACATGTCTCTGATTTCTGATAAGGGATCTTGAACCAGATCTTCAAAACGGATCATCAAATAGCGATCTTTTAGAAATCTTGGAGGTTTCTGAGTAGCTGTTTCATAGATCTGGATGTGACTTCTACAAATTTCCTTCATTACTTTATATTTGCTATCCTCCACTTTAGTGCCATTGGTGCTCAGAACAATCCCATTGTCACGAGCTAAGGCTTTTACTGACTGTTCTCGTGACTTGGCAACAGCTCTGGGATCACGCACCAAGTGAATGATTTTGAGATTCAGGGAGAGGTCAGTGAGAAGGGGATAGAGAACTGTCAGATCAAAGAACCGGACCTCCTTGAGGACAATGTGGCTGTAGGTCTTGCAAGCTTCCTCCACCTTGCTGAATGGGTACTTGCCACAAAGGGTCTTGCAGGCCATTTCATTGGTAATGTCGGTGCGTTGAAAGGAATCACAGGCAGGAGCTGAACAGAGTGCCCGACTCACTGCCCACTGGAAGAGATCGGACAAGTTTCTCTTCCAAGGCATGTAGGCATCAAACACAGACATGTCACACTTGAAGACAGACCTGACTAGGTCTCTAACAGCCATATGTAAGACTTTGGCACTGTTCTGGTACATCGTTACCCACACATGCCAGGCAGGTTCCATCAGGTAGAAGACATCAGGGTGTTGGCTAAACAGTTGGCCAACAAAGGAAGATCCTGACCTCCAGGAAGAGAGAATAAGGATGTGCACCCGAGATGGCTTCTCTTCAGACTGAGGCATGAAGCTGCTATGTCGAGCATACATAAATAGTAAGAATCCAGTCTGAATCATAAGGAAAACTACAACAATGGTGCTGGAAAGCCGAAGTCTCACCATACTGGCTGAAGGAAAGCAACTAATACACTGAAAAGGGAGAGGAAAAGGCTGTTTAGTATTTGGTAACAACTGCAGTGGCATAATAATGATACAACTCACAGCAGACAGACTCCTGTAAAAGACTTTTCTTTTTTGTATTTATGTGCTATGTTGGATATAACTTGTTCTGACTTATGGAGACTGCAGAGTGAGTCTATCGGCAAGAGAGCTGAGACAGGCAGTAAATGGACTGGGAAAAAGGCAGTGCAAGAGTGAGCACAGAGTAAAAGAAAGTTTGGAGTGGGTATCTGGTGTTGCAGAGAGTAAGCTGTTCAACTGTTAGCATACAAAAGTAAAGAAAATCTGAGACAGCAGACTGCGTGAAAACCATATGGCTACTGAGCCCATGTGCATTTCACATTTTGATGTATCAGTTAGCTCACGCTGACCTGAAGTTCTAAACTTGATCTTTAGTCACTTTTTCAGTATTGCTCCCCAAAGGGGCAGTATGCACTAGCTGAGATAAATCCCAACCAGTTGAGATCAGTTTAGGCAGGAGTAGAGCCATAGTCTGAGCCCCAGATGTGCGCAAAAAAACATTTAGAAGAACAAAGTGATTATATGAAGACGAATTTTAGGAGGGGAGACAGCATCTTGAGAACCCCTTGCACAGATGACCCAAAATTTGGACCCCCAATCCTACCCTGTAACTCCATGAAGCACAGAAAATGTCAAGACAATCACAGTCTTCATTTTAGAGTCTTTATAACTGTTATCTTTTAAAGATTAAGTGACTCTCAACCTTAACTCTCCTATGAACTTCCACATATATCTCTGCTGATATAGACACCCAAACTATTTTGTTCAATTTTACACATATGAAATGTAAAATATATAAGTATAAAAACTTTTACTTAGTGTCAATAATTAGTTTTTGTAATTCACATGTCTGCCTTGTCTTCTTCCCAGACTCCTTTTGTTTTATGTATTATTGTGGCAATTAAAGGGGCATTGTAAATTTTTGAAAAAATTATACTTCTGTCTGAAACTTTTGTTACAAATTACAACTAAAATTAGTATAATGAAGGAGATTGGAATAGAGAAAAAAATCTCTAAAGTATGATATAAACTGCAAGGAAGCACATGAAAGAAAAATAAGAACCTCAGTAGAACAGACATTTTCAATACATTAGATTTGTCTCCTATTATTTTGCAGAGAGGGGCCTATTCCAGGAATACACATATACACCCAACACCATCAAAGAGTTATGGAAATAACCATACCACTTTATAAGTTACATAAATTCTCATTTTTTCAAATCATAAACCAACCACAAACCCGTTTCACTGGATTTCCTTTCAAAAGATACATTTCCTCACTTGGAGGGGGTGGGTGGTGTACACTTGCTAATTCTGCTCAAGCTAGTGAGCTAAATATATCAGCGTGGCTTGACAGCACAGACAGCAGCTGAAGCTCACCACCTAAACACAACCCCATCTGAGGTAAGTACTCAGCTGGCTAGCCTGAGCCGCTGCCCATGCCATCACAGCCACACTGCTTATTAGCTTGAGCAGAGCTAGCTTGTATACATCTACCTGAGGTGGGAACCATACCTCCCAGCTGTTGTGTGGACATATTGATCTTGGGGTGTTACTGGTATTTATATGTATTTCTTGGTATTTAAACATTTGTACTATTTTCAGTTGCATTCCCCAGCCATGCTATTTTGAGGCCACATTAAATCTATCTCCATATTAATTGTGTAACTTGATACATTTCTAAACTCTTTCACAAGTTGTAGCAAAGTAAAGTAAAGTGGGTTTCTCAGAAGAAGCATCACGTATCATCTGAATATAAAGATTTTTTTAAATACTTATTGTTTATTTATATTGATATGCCAGGATTCACCAGATGGTGCTGTTACACAAGTTCTTACAATTTCTTTTTCTTCGCACAGAAATAGCATGCAGTCCTTGCAGAAATGGGGTAATGTTGTTAGTTTTGTAATGCAATTTCTTTTGGGAGAGCTTTTGCAAAGAATAGGAGAAATTGCTCTCTGTGCTAATCTCTCTACCTAGAGTTAATTATTTTGGTAGAGTTGCTTCTTGGGAACCAGGCACTAAAGTTTGTGATGAAATTTCTGAAAGAAGGGTTTTCATGCATGTCATATGTGAACACTGTGCTCAAGGACTGGTGTACACAAGAATATACAAGTCCACATCATTGATTTCTCCTCCAACAAGAAGCTAACTGTAGGTCCCCAACAACCGCTACTGGTGATTGGCAAAGGGCTGACAATATCTACAGGTCCCACTCTCAGTTGTGCTGGTCACTATTCAAACACATCATAAAAAAATCCCTGTCCCAAAGAGTTTACAATCCATGTAGAGTGTTTTACAGATACAAGGTGGGAGGGGAAACAGAGGGACAGAGAGATGAAGTGACTCACCCATGTTTCCACAACAGGTCAGTGGCAGAGCAGAAATGGAAGCCAGGTCTCCTGAGTCTCAATCCAGTGCTCCAACAACTAGACCAGTGGTCCCCAAACTGTGGGGTAAGCCCTGCCCTCCAGAGGGGTGCAGAGGAATGTTTGAGGGGGCGCAGTGGGGCTTGGGCCAGCTCCCACGACAGGCGGGAGGAAGCGCCACCCTTGCTCTGCCCCCAGCTCCACTCTGCCCCCACCCCAGCTCCGGCCCCAGCCCCGCTAAAATCTGAACAGGCACACTTTCAAGCTCTCAATAAGGCAGATTGACTCTTGTCAGCTTTCCATCTCTATTGCTATTCACAATGTTTCTCAAGCCCTTACCACAGCCAAAGAAACAAATTCTCCCAAACTCATGCCATACATTTGCTGGTTTTGCTCACCTGCACATGGGGAGTCAGCATGGTCTAGTTCAATGGTCCCCCAAACATAGGGCGTACATGAGCCCCCCCCTTTTCAGGGAGGCTAGCCATGCAGACCCACCCCTTGTGCCCAAGGCCCTGCCCCTACCAGCCCCCGCATCCGCTGGAGCCCCGAGCGCGCCCCCCCGCACAGCTGGAGGAGCCCTGGCCCTGCCGCCCCCAGTGTTGAGCATCGGCCTGCGGGCTGCCCCCAACATCAGTGCCAGCCAGCCAGCCACTCCCAACGTTGGTACTAGTACCAGTCCGCCGGCCGCTCCCAGCACCAGCCCCAGTGTGGGGCCATTGGCTTCTGGCTGGAGCTGAGCTCCCACCAGCTTGGACGTCAGTTTGGTGGAGAGGGCGCAGCATGGCAGGGCCAGGGCTTGGCTTAGGGGAGGCTTAGCCTCCCCTGGCCTCATAGGTGCTGGAACTAGGGGTGGTGCAGCACTGCCAGGCTGGAAGTGGTTTCCATTATATGCAGTTTTTACAGTTTGGTTCAATGGCTCTCAGCACCCCCACTATAAAAATTGTTTAGCATTCCTTCCTGGTCTATTGTACCCACTGCCCATGTTCGCAAACTTTTTTGGTCATGTCCTCCCCTTACCGGTAATGGAATCTGTCTGGGGCTCCTGGGGGCCCTCCTCCTGGACCCAGCTCCAGCTGCAGCTCTGGCCTCAGCCCTGAGCTCCCGGTCACAGCTCCACTCTCAGCCACGGCCTCAGCTCCTGATCACAGCTCCAGCCTTGGCTTTGGCCTCTGGTCGTGGCCCCATCCTCCGACCACAGCCCCAGCAGGAGGGAGAGACAAATTCCATAACAGATAAGGGGGCACGACAGAAAAAGTTTGGGGACCACTGAACTAGACCATGCTGACTCCCCAGGTACAGATGGGCAAAACCAACAAATGTATAGCATGAGTTTGGGGAATTTGTTCCTTTGGCTATGGTAAGGGTTTGACAAAGCTTGTGAACAGCAATAGAGCCAGAAAGCAGACAAGAGTCAATCTGCCTTATTAGAAGCATGAAGGAGTGCCTGTGCCAGGTAAGATTTCAGTAAGAGAGTTCCTTCATGGTGTTTTGCTACAGTTTAGGCAGATGTGCTGAAACACCAGTGCTTCCCATCTCTCTGTCCGTTTTTAATTTCATTCCCATTGTTTTCTCATTAGTTTCTTGTGAGGGCCATTAGAATTCATAAATAAATCACAGGCAGTAGTTGGGCTTCAAGCCTTTTAAAAAAGCCTCCTCCAAGCTTCCTAGCAGAGACCCATCTTACTCCAACAAGGTGAGCTAGCTGGTCCCTGTCGGTACTACTATTATACTTGTTTCAGAGTAGCAGCCGTGTTAATCTGTATTTGCAAAAAGAAAAGGAGTACGTGTGGCACCTTAGAGACTAACCAATTTATTTGAGCATAAGCTTTCATGAGCTACAGCTCACTTCATTGGATGGATTATACTTGGCACTCCACAGCACCTCACTCCCGAGGACCACAAAGCATTTCAGACATTAATTAATTTTGCGTCACAGCCCACAGGACAAACTAGGACAGGATCATTATCCCCATTTCACAGAGAGTGAATGGAGGCACAAACAAGTTGCCACAAGTCACACAGAGACCTGAGGAAGAGCTAGAAAGCTGGTCTCTCCCCCCACAGAAGCTGGTCCAATACAACAGATTCCCTCACCCACCTTAAAGAAAAGGAGGACTTGTGGCACCTTAGAGACTAACCAATTTATTTGAGCATGAGCTTTCGTGAGCTACAGCTCACTTCATGTGCATCCGATGAAGTGAGCTGTAGCTCACGAAAGCTCATGCTCAAATAAATTGGTTAGTCTCTAAGGTGCCACAAGTCCTCCTTTTCTTTTTGCGAATACAGACTAACACGGCTGTTACTCTGAAACCTCACCCACCTTGTCTCTCCAACATCCTGCGGCCCACAGAGCTACAACAAGCTACATGGAGAAACAGGAAAAACCCCTGGGAACCCTGACCCTCAGCCCGTCCTCTCCACTCCCCTTTACCCCCCAAACTGGCCCCAAATGCCAGTGGAGGGATTGGAGCTGGGACCCGTTGCTGGGGGGCGGCTCCCTGGGGGCCAGTTCTACTGCCCCGGGCGGCAGGGGAGCCGGGCTCCGGGAGAGTCAGGCGGGTCTCGCCAGGGGGATGGAGCGGCCAAGGGGCGAGCCCAGAAAGGAACGGGGGCTCGAATATACGGAGCGCGCTCCCCGCTAGGAACCAGCGAACTTGCCACGTAACGACCCCAGCCCAGCCGGTACCTGCAGCCGCTTCCTCCGCTCGCTGGAGACGCCGCCGAGGAGGACGCGCAGACAATGAGCCGCTTTCAGACGTGGCTGAGCCCCTGCGCGGCGGGAGGAGCCGGGAAGGGGCCGGTCCGCAGGCAGCGCCCCCCGTGGAGCGGGAGCAGGGGGCCCCGGGAGTCAGACGGGCGGAGCGGGGGTCGCTCGGCCCCTCCCGTCCGCGCCAGCTTGGCCCCCGGCGATCGTGTCCTGATTCATCGTGAACGCGGCAAACGGCTCCGGGGCAGAGGCTGGAGAGAGCCGCCGGGTGGGTAGGAGCAGGGCTGGGAAGAGCGGAGAGGACGGTGTAGCCCTGCGGCCCCTAGTGGGGTGTCACCGTGGGCTGCCCCCGCCCCAAGCGCCGACTCCGCAGCTCCCATTGGCTGGGAACTGTAGCCAATGGGAGCTGCAGGGGTGACACCTGTGGACAGAGACCCCCGCCCTCGCCCCTAGGAGCTGCTGCCAGAGTGGTGGTGGTGGGGGGTGTCGGTCGCTTTGGGAGCCGTGCAACATGAGGTAAGCACCACCACCCTGACCCCCTTCCGCACCCGGACCCCCAGCCCAGGGCCCACACCCAGCACCCAAGCTCCCTCCCAGAGCCTGACCGCCGCACCCTCTCCTGCACCCCAACCCCCTGCCCCAATCAAGGTACCTCATTTTATTTTCATTTACTTCCCATTACTTATAATATAGGAGGAAGATTTAAAAAAAAATGAAAAATTGGGAGGGGGGAGATAAGAGAGAATGTTCTTTTTCTTGGCTGTGTCCTGAGGGGAAGGCTGAAAATAAAGCTGCAAACAGAGCCCCACTAACTCCAAATCTGCCACTGCCTCGGGAGCAGGGGACGAGGACGTTTTGATGTGTCATTGGGCATTGCTGCATTTTCTGTTATTGTCTTTCCCACTTCATTGAGTAATGGACCTACACTGTCCTTAGTCTTCATCTTGCTTCTAATGTAGTTGTAAAAATTTTCTTGTTACCCTTTATGTCCCTAGCTAGTTTAATCTCGTTTTGTGCCTTGGTCTTTCTACTTCTATCCCTACATGCTTGTGTTGTTTTTTTTTTAATGCATCCTTCATAATTTAACCTAGTGTCCACTTTTTGTGGGATTCTTTTTTGAGTGTCAGGTGGTTGATGATCTCCTGGTTAAGCCAGAGTGGTTTCTTACCATACTTCCTATTTTTCCTGTGCACTGGGATAGTTTGCTCTTGTGCCCATAATATCTCTGTAAACAACTCTGAAGGTTCCTAAACTCTTTTTCTCCCACTTAGACTTGCTTCCCATGGGATCTACCAATTCTCTGAGTTTGCTAAAGTCTGCCTTTTTGAAGTCCATTGTCTTTATTTTGTTTTCCCTCTGACCATTCTTTAGAATCGTGAACTCTATTGTTTCATGATCACTTTCACCCAAGCTGCCTTCCACCTTCAAATTCTCAACCAGTTCATCGCTGTTTGTCAGAATTAAGTCTAGAACAGCCTCTCCCCTAGTCAGTTTCTCCACATTCTGTTAAAAACTGTGACTAAGCTTTCCATAACTGTTGCTCTTCAAGATGTGTTTCATGTGCCCATTCCACTATAGGTGTTTGTGTGCTCCCGTGCACAGCTGTCAGAGTTTTTACCTTTAGCAGAACCTGACAGAGTGGCCCGAGTGCCCTCTGCTGTCTTGTGCACATTGCATGGGCATAAAGGACTGAGCTGCCCCAGACCCTTTCAGTTCCCTCCTATTGGGATTACTCCAAAAGAGTGGGGAAGGAGGGTGGGTCATGGAATGGACACGTGTAACACACCTGTTTTTTCTTCAAGTGATTGCACACATCTATTCTACTGGAGTTGACTCACAAGCAGTCCATGTGGAAGTGGGTTCACAGTCTATTCCAACAAGGACTGGAGGACCACTCATCCAAATTTAGCATCATCTCTAGATTGTTGAGATTGTATAATGGGAAGCAAACTTGTGATAGGAAGAACAGGTTGCACTTGCCAAACATCTAATATGGGCACATGAATCAGAAGTGCCACAGAAGCCACTTGGGATCTAGCTAAATGACCCAATACTCTGTCCAGCAGTTCCATGTTAGCCAATTGGTAACACAGGTGAATACAACCAGCTATCCATGAAAAAATCCTTTGTGTGGAAATGGGCTGCCCTTCATTCTGTCCTCAAATTCAAAAAACAATTGAGACAAAGACCAAAACACTTAAAGTTCTTCTGTCTAGAGTGTGCAGTAACTCCTCTCCCTTATTACTGTTAGGATATAGATATTCAGGCCTGTCTGTAAAGGCCTATACTCTAAGAATTTAGGTGTATTCTTATCACTTGGATAATTATAGAGGTATAAAAGAAAGACTCAAAATCACTGTCTGCTGGTGTAAGAGCCTTCTCTTACTGTTTCAGAGTAACAGCCGTATTAGTTTGTATTCGCAAAAAGAAAATGAGTACTTGTGGCACCTTAGAGACTAACCAATTTATTTGAGCATAAGCTTTCGTGAGCTACAGCTCACTTCATCGGATGCATACTGTGGAAAGTGTAAAAGATCTTTTTATATACACACAAAGCATGAAAAAATACCTCCTCCCACCCCACTCTCCTGCTGGTAATAGCTTATCTAAAGTGATCACTCTCCTTACAATGTGTACGATAATCAAGTTGGGCCATTTCCAGCACAAATCCAGGTTTTCTCACACACCCCCCCCCCAAACCCACTTACCAGCAGGAGAGTGGGTTGTGTGTGTGTGGGGGGGGGGGGTGGTGAGAAAACCTGGATTTGTGCTGGAAATGGCCCAACTTGATTATCGTACACATTGTAAGGAGAGTGATCACTTTAGATAAGCTATTACCAGCAGGAGAGTGGGGTGGGAGGAGGTATTTTTTCATGCTTTGTGTGTATATAAAAAGATTTTTTACACTTTCCACAGTATGCATCCGATGAAGTGAGCTGTAGCTCACGAAAGCTTATGCTCAAATAAATTGGTTAGTTTCTAAGGTGCCACAAGTACTCCTTTTCTTTCTCTTACTGTGACAGTCTGAGGCCCTCTTCTTAGGCTAAGGCCTTTGGCTAAGCAACAGAGGCAGCCATAAGCTGGGAAGCGAACCTCACATTCCAAACTAGTCACATTGAAATAAGGTGCTATTGGGCTGTTAGGAATACAATCCTGTCCTGAGCCTCCAGAGAAAGGGAAGTGCCTAGAAGATGTAAAAGGAAACTTAGTTTCATAGCATCCTGTCTGGCAAGAACTCACTTATCAATAGCTGAGATGTGAAATCCTCATTTCTGAGTTTGTTCTATCACTGTAGTCCCCATTTCCCCATTGTTTGTCTGTATAATCTCTGTCTGGTTCTGTGATTGTTTCTGTCAGCTGTATAATTAATTTTGCTGGGTGTAAACTAATTAAGGTGGAGGGATATAATTGGTTAAATAATCATGTTACAATATGTTAGGATTGGTTAGTTAAATTTCAGTAAAATGATTGGTTAAGGTATAGCTAAGCAGAAGTCAAGTTTTACTATATAGTCTGCAATCAATCAGGGGTGGGGGAATTGGAATCATGTTTGGCTAAGGGCAGGAATGGGAACAGGGACAGAGGTGTAAGGCTCTGTGGTGTCAGAGCTGGGAAGGGGGACACTAAGGAAGGAAACTGGAATCATGCTTGCTGGAAGGTCACCCCAATAAACATCGAATTGTTTGCACCTTTGGACTTTGGGTATTGTTGCTCTCTGTTCATGTGAGAAGGACCAGGGAAGTAAGTGGGTGAAGGAATAAGCCTCCTATCAATTACCATAAGGCTTTGGGAAGAACATCTGTGTATAAATTGATATGAAAAGAGGAAAACATTTTCATAAGGAACCTTGAATGGGAACAAAGGCAGACTTTATCTGTGTAAAAAAACCTTGTATATGGAGGATGTGATATTAATGCCCTCAACTCCCCTACTCTCATGGCTGATGTAATGGCTATTAAAAATGCTGCCTTCATAGAAAGATGTAACAGAGAGCAGGTTGCTAGAGGCTCAAAGAGGCCCATCAGCTTTGTTAAGACTAAGTTCAGTCTCCATGTTGGAATAGTGCTCTGTATAAGTGGAAACATCCTGTCCAAGCTAAGACATTATCTGATTAAAATATGACCATATCGATCATTGTTGCAACCACTATTATTTATTTGCATCAAATCTTGTACAAAATGTGGCATGTGAGATGTCTATGAAAAAGTTATGATTTGTTCATTATGGTTATGCTATCCGCATGCATGTATCTTTTTTGTATTTGAAGTTATAAGTATTGGCCCTATACCTGAACTTCAAATGTTTGCTCCTGGGGTAATGCCCCACAAGGTATTTAGCTCGCACAACTTGGAGGGACTATTCAAATTAAGTGGCTCATAAAGAAATACTTAACTAACAATGGGCCATGGGAGACGCCCATCTGAATGGACTGTCCTATAAACATACTGTCTGAAGTATAGGTAATGGCTTCCTGCTATAACTAAGCGAAACTGGGCATAGACAGGTGACTTGCCCACGTGACTCCAAACTCCCATCTTTTACCTGTAATTTTCCACTAGCTGTGCTAAGGTCTTTGTTTAAAACAATGGGTTTCCCTCCACATGGTGTCCTAGAGACACCTCCATTTTGCCTCTTTCCTGCTCAAACCTCTAAACTATGAACTTATACTAATGGAAGCATTCTAACCAAGGGACTGAGGTCCTTCCAATGATTTGAAAGCAACCAGAAACTTATCAAGGCAGCAGTTTATTCCATCACTGCTACAAGCCTAAACCAAAAACTTTGCAATTTACAGTATGTATTTAATTCCTTTAACCATTTTAACTCCCACCTTTCTCTTTCTTTCTTTTTATAAATAAACTTTTAAATACTAAAGGACTGGCATCAGCGTAAATTTTTGGGTAAGATCTGAGTTATATATTGACCTGGGTTTGTAGCTGGTCCTTTGGGATCAGAAGAACCTGTTATTTGATTAAATTGGTTTTAAAGAACCACTCATCTCTAAGTCTAATGTTTTCAGTGGTAATACAAGGACTGAAATGCCTAATGAAACTGCTTTTATGACTTCTTGTTAGCCAGTGTTGTAAAACAGAAGTTTACTTTTGTTGTTGGTTTGGTATATCCTATGGGGGATTAGCCACCAGTCTTGGGGTGTTTTTGCCCTATTTCTCAGAACTTTGTCCTGAATTTGGCATTCTCAGTTGTGACCCAAAAAGGCACGGTTACAGTGGCGTAGTCAGCAGGATCCTGCTTTGAGCAGGGGGTTGGACTAGATGACCTCCTGAGGTCCCTTCCAACCCTGATATTCTATGATTCTATGATCCACAGAACCAGGTCAATTAAGCTTTGGATCAAAACCTCATGCTATTCAAAATGTGCATTTTGATATTGAGAGTTTTAAAGGTTAAAGATCAGTGACCATAAGCCAGAAGGCATCAGCAGAAGCAATCAAACTGCAGGCCCTGTGTATTGAACCTGTACAAAGAATGGCATATTTTCGAATGCAAGAAAAGCAAGCTGCAGAGAAAGCTAAACAAGCTGAAGAGAGGGTTCACCAGATGCAACAAGAAAATGGCAGACTTAAGCTCCAAATTAAAAAAGCAATGGAAAAACAGCAAAAACGGTATCACCTTGAAAGTCCAGTTTATAACATATGATTCTAAACTGTTGCCTGTGTTTAACTAGTTTTTCTTTTGCCAGGGAAAAGGTCTCTCTAACCTGGAGAAGGTGGAAAATAGCTGTTTGTCTGTGCAGAAGAGCAGTTTATATGTGAATAAAGTTTCTAAATGTCTAATATCTCAGAAGTGAATCTGGAATTAGATGAAGCACAGGGAGAACTCGTTGATCAGGAAAATGTTTCTCTAGAGCGGATTAAGGTTGATGGTCAGGTTAAAGTCCTAATTGAGGAAAAAAGGGGTAGATTTTTTGTGGATAGAATCATAGAATCATAGAATATAAGGGTTGGAAGGGACCCCAGAAGGTCATCTAGTCCAACCCCCTGCTCGAAGCAGGACCAATTCCCAGTTAAATCATCCCAGCCAGGGCTTTGTCAAGCCTGACCTTAAAAACCTCTAAGGAAGGAGAAAAAAGAAAAGGAGTACTTGTGGCACCTTAGAGACTAACCAATTTATTTGAGCATGAGCTTTCGTGAGCCACAGCTCACTTCTGATGAAGTGAGCTGTGGCTCACGAAAGCTCATGCTCAAATAAATTGGTTAGTCTCTAAGGTGCCACAAGTACTCCTTTTCTTTTTGCGAATACAGACTAACACGGCTGTTCCTCTGAAACCTAAGGAAGGAGATTCTACCACCTCCCTAGGTAACGCATTCCAGTGTTTCACCACCCTCTTAGTGAAAAAGTTTTTCCTAATATCCAATCTAAACCTCCCCCACTGCAGCTTGAGACCATTACTCCTCGTTCTGTCATCTGCTACCATTGAGAACAGTCTAGAGCCATCCTCTTTGGAACCCCCTTTCAGGTAGTTGAAAGCAGCTATCAAATCCCCCCTCATTCTTCTCTTCTGCAGGCTAAACAATCCCAGCTCCCTCAGCCTCTCCTCATAACTCATGTGTTCCAGACCCCTAATCATTTTTGTTGCCCTTCGCTGGACTCTCTCCAATTTATCCACATCCTTCTTGAAGTGTGGGGCCCAAAACTGGACACAGTACTCCAGATGAGGCCTCACCAATGTCGAATAGAGGGGAACGATCACGTCCCTCGATCTGCTCGCTATGCCCCTACTTATACATCCCAAAATGCCATTGGCCTTCTTGGCAACAAGGGCACACTGCTGACTCATATCCAGCTTCTCGTCCACTGTCACCCCTAGGTCCTTTTCCGCAGAACTGCTGCCTAGCCATTCGGTCCCTAGTCTGTAGCTGTGCATTGGGTTCTTCCGTCCTAAGTGCAGGACCCTGCACTTATCCTTATTGAACCTCATCAGATTTCTTTTGGCCCAATCCTCCAATTTGTCTAGGTCCTTCTGTATCCTATCCCTCCCCTCCAGCGTATCTACCACTCCTCCCAGTTTAGTATCATCCGCAAATTTGCTGAGAGTGCAATCCACACCATCCTCCAGATCATTTATGAAGATATTGAACAAAACCGGCCCCAGGACCGACCCTTGGGGCACTCCACTTGATACCAGCTGCCAACTAGACATGGAGCCATTGATAACTACCCGTTGAGCCCGACAATCTAGCCAGCTTTCTACCCACCTTATAGTGCATTCTTCCAGCCCATACTTCCTTAACTTGCTGACAAGAATACTGTGGGAGACCGTGTCAAAAGCTTTGCTAAAGTCAAGAAACAATACATCCACTGCTTTCCCTTCATCCACAGAACCAGTAATCTCATCATAAAAGGCGATTAGATTAGTCAGGCATGACCTTCCCTTGGTGAATCCATGCTGGCTGTTCCTGATCACTTTCCTCTCATGCAAGTGCTTCAGGATTGATTCTTTGAGGACCTGCTCCATGATTTTTCCGGGGACTGAGGTGAGGCTGACTGGCCTGTAGTTCCCAGGATCATCCTCCTTCCCTTTTTTAAAGATTGGCACTACATTAGCCTTTTTCCAGTCATCCGGGACTTCCCCCGTTCGCCACGAGTTTTCAAAGATAATGGCCAATGGCTCTGCAATCACAGCCGCCAGTTCCTTCAGCACTCTCGGATGCAACTCGTCCGGCCCCATGGACTTGTGCACGTCCAGCTTTTCTAAATAGTCCCTAACCACCTCTATCTCCACAGAGGGCTGGCCATCTATTCCCCATTTTGCGATGCCCAGCGCAGCAGTCTGGGAGCTGACCTTGTTAGTGAAAACAGAGGCAAAAAAAGCATTGAGTACATTAGCTTTTTCCACATCCTCTGTCACTAGGTTGCCTCCCTCATTCAGTAAGGGGCCCACACTTTCCTTGGCTTTCTTCTTGTTGCCAACATACCTGAAGAAACCCTTCTTGTTACTCTTGACATCTCTGGCTAGCTGCAGCTCTAGGTGCGATTTGGCCCTCCTGATATCATTCCTACATGCCCGAGCAATATTTTTATACTCTTCCCTGGTCATATGTCCAACCTTCCACTGCTTGTAAGCCTCTTTTTTATGTTTAAGATCCGCTAGGATTTCACCATTAAGCCAAGCTGGTCGCCTGCCATATTTACTATTCTTTCGACTCATCGGGATGGTTTGTCCCTGTAACCTCAACAGGGATTCCTTGAAATACAGCCAGCTCTCCTGGACTCCTTTCCCCTTCAAGTTAGTCCCCCAGGGGATCCTGGCCATCCGTTCCCTGAGGGAGTCGAAGTCTGCTTTCCTGAAGTCCAGGGTTCGTATCCTGCTGCTTACCTTTCTTCCCTGCGTCAGGATCCTGAACTCAACCAACTCATGGTCACTGCCTCCCAGATTCCCATCCACTTTTGCTTCCCCCACTAATTCTACCCGGTTTGTGAGCAGCAGGTCAAGAAAAGCGCCCCCCCCCTAGTTGGCTCCTCCTGGATGATGGATTGTAGGCAAATAAAGCTTGTGAAAGTAAGCCTGAACAAGGTAGAAGTGATTTGTTTGAAGTAGTTCAGTGTAATAAGACTATCTGTGGAGAATAACCACCAGTTTGGGTTGTTTCAGAGCCGTGTTAGTCTGTATTCGCAAAAAGAAAAGGAGTACTTGTGGCACCTTAGAGACTAACCAATTTATTTGAGCATAAGTTTGGGTTGTGTCTGCCCTATTTCTCACCAGTTTGTCCTCAATTTGGTATTCTCAGTTGTGTCCCATAGAGGCATGGTTACACAAGCCCTTTAAAAATCTTACAGCCATCAGGTTGGAAAAAGGGAAGTAGTTATCCACAGGCAGATCAAATGCCAATATAGCTGCTCGGTGTACACTAATTGAGCTGCTCACTAAACCTGGATATTTCAGATACAAAAGATAGTCCAGCACATGCTGAATAGATGCAAGGATTGGGGAGAACCCTTTCAGCCTCGACCCGACAGAAAACCTTTTCCACTTAGCAAGGTAAATTGTCCTTGTTGATGTTTTTCTACTCTTCAGCAGTACCTCCTGCAACTCTCTGGAGCAGGATGCCTCCGCCGATGTTAGCGATGAAGTCTCTAGGCCCTCTGGGGACGAGCTTGGAGGTTGGGGTGAAAGAGGTGGCTGCGATTCTGCAAAACTAAGTCTGTGTGAAGTGGGAATAACAGTGGGGGACTGATTGAGAGGTCCACGAGCTATGAAAACCAGTGCTGAGGGGGCCATGTAGGGGCGATCAGTGTAAGACTGGCCTTGTCCTGTTTAATCTTGCACAGAACTCTGGGCAGAAGAGGGATGGGAAGAAAAGCATAGAGCAGACTCTCTGATTATGGAAGTAGAAAAGAACTGGTCAGTGAGCTGGGGCTGTCTCCTGCTCTGGAGCAGAACTGGTGACATTTTGTGTTGTCCTTTGTTGCAAACAGATCCACTTGGGGAGCTCCGTAGAGCTGGAAAATAGACCTTGCGACATCTGGGCAAAAGGAACACTTGTGGTGATGAATAAAAAACCTGCTCAGGGGATCTGCCAGCATATTTGGACTCCCAGGAGGTGGGCTGCTTTCAGAAGTATAGAGTTGCTGATACAGAAGTCCCAGAGCAGGATTGCTTTTCGGCGGAGTAGTGAGGACCAGGCTCCCCATTGCTTGTTTACATAGAACATGGTGATTGTACTGTTGGTCTGCATCAATCCACCCCTTTCGCTGACGCAAGGAGGGAACAACATGCAAGCTAAAGGAATAAACAGCAGGGAGCAGGGGGCTATGCATAGACTGAGATCTTGGGGAGACCAGAGACCCTGTGTCAACAGGTGTCCCATGTGAGCCCCAGCACCCCAGCTACAAGGCATCCATTTATGACGAAGTGGGACGGTTCTTAATGTTTCCTCTGAATACTGTAGGGTGCCTCAGTTTCTCCTATGCATTTCTTAAGTCTCTAGGTGGTGGGATAAGAGCGTGTAATTGTTGCAGTGCAAAGAGCCAGTGTACATAAATGGCTGACACTCTGTCTCCTGGCAACTGATGGCCTGGGCCCTTCCCCCCTGCAAGGTGATAGCTAAAGGGTTGGAGAAGAAAGGAATCAGGTGACCTCCTGGCCCAGGAAAGAGACAAAGCCCAGAGGAGGAGGGGCTGGAGGGGGAGTCAGTTTGGGCTGGCTGGGGACGTGGAGTGAAGTGCAGACGTGGTTGTCTGGCTCACTGCCCCCAAAATGGACCCAGCTGAGGGGTCCTGTTCTTTGTACCTACAAGCTCTGTTTTAGACAGTGTTCCTGTCATCTAATAAACCTCTGTTTTACTGGCTGGCTAAGAGTCACATCTGACTGTGAAGTTGGGGTGCAGGAACTCGCTGGGGGAAGTGCATGGAGGGACAGAGGATGCTGAATGCTCCAAGGTCAGACCCAGGAAGGTGGAAGCTGTGGGAGCTTTTTGCCCTGAAGACAGACTGCTCTCAGAGAGGAGACTTCACTCGAGTCCTGACTGGCTTCGTAGGGAGCAGTTCCAGAGCATTGCCCAGGGACTCCGTGACACCATTACTAAGGAAAGAGAGTGCTGAGATGGGGCTAAAGCAGGGATGGGCAAACTTTTTGTCCCAAGGGCCACATCTGGGTGGGGAAATTGTAAGCAGGGCCATGAATGTAGGGCTGGGGCAGGGGGTTGGGGTGCGAGTGAGGGGTGTGGGAGGGTGTGCGGTGTGCAGGAAAGGGCTCAGGGCAAGAGTGCAGGAAGGATGCGGGGTGCAGCAGGGGTCTCAGGGGGTTGGGGTGCATGAGGCTTGTGGCAGGGGTCTCAGGGCAAGGGGTTGGGGTGCAGCAGGGGGTTGGGGGCTCAGGGCAGGGGTTTGGGGTGCATGAGGAGCTGTGGGGGACGGTGCCTGCAGGTGAGGGCAGCACACAGAGCCCTCTGCTCCCCTCCCTCCCCGGGACGTGGTGCTGGCTGCTTCCAGGAGTGGTGCGGGGCCAGGGCAGGCAGGAAGCTTGCCTTGGCCCTGCTGCGCCATGGGTCTGGCAATCCTGTGTGCTGGATTGCAAGCCCTGATGGGCCAAATCTGGCCCAGAGGACATAGTTTGCCCTCCCCTGGGCTAAAGGAACTCCCCTGCATACACTGGTTGGGTCTAGCCACAATCTAGGGACAGATATGTTCGTGCACATACCAAATGTTAGTTTCCTCCTCTTCCAGTCCTGCTGCTTTCAAGCACCCTCCTCCCCATTCCCACTCTTTCATTCAATAATTCTTTTCTCTTCAATGTTGCTGCCACCACCCTCCATCCACCCAACTCTTTTCCATCAGCCTTCCGTTGATTTCAGCTCCTGGCTTGCTCTCTCTTTCTCTCCTCAAGTTCCCTGTCACAGAGACTGACCCCTTTAAAGGGATATGGGGCCAGCCCCGCTTGTGCCATAATTAGCTGTCTCACAGCCTAAGGGGGCAACCTACAGAGGGGGCTGGGCTTCAGAGCCCTAGCTCCAGCTCAAGGCACAGCTTCAAAGCACTGGCTACAGAGCTATTTTTAGAGTGCTAGGGCAAGCCCCAAGTGGCCCGAGTCCAACAACCTGGGCTGGGAGGCTTGCTCCCACGGGCTCCAAAATGCTGCGTAGCCAGACCTGCTGGGGCCAGAGGACAGCCTGATCAGCACCTGGGCCTCATAAAAAGGCAGAGAACAGAGTTTGGTGAAGAAACCACAGGGAAGCTCTGAAGTAGGGTCTGGAAAAAGCAGGAGACTTCATTGAAGCAGCCTGTGAGTCAGGGCTGTCTGCCAAAGCAGGGAACGCTGAAAGGTAGTCCAGAGAAGCTGAGACTATGAGAGGACTCAGTGCTCTATCCCAGAGCACAGAGACTTACAGGTAGCCCAGAAGAAGCTGAGGAGTGAAGAGGAGATCAAGCAGGCAGGGGCATCCCTAGGGGGTGTGGGGTCTGGGACATAGGCGCCGAGTTTCTGTCTGCCAGAAGGTGCTCCCCCCCCCAACCCGAACCCCCACTCCATCCCTTTCCCCAAGGCCCCACCCCCACCCCACCTCTTTCCACCCCCTCCCCAGAGCGCATGGCACCCTTGCTCCTCCCCCCTCCCACCCAGTGCCTCCAGACGAAACAGCTGATCAGCAGTAAGCACTGGGAGGGAGCGGGAGGTGCTGATTGGCGGGCAGAAGGGGCTGGGGGAAAAGGGGAGGTTGGTAGGGGGGCTCCTCCTTGATCACCCCCCTGCCCATATCACCTCCCCATCCGCCTCCTCTTGAACTGCGGGACCTCCTAAAGTGCAGGGCCTGGGGTGGTCGGCCCGATTGGCCATACCCTAGGGACAGCTCTGCAAGCAGGGAAGACCAAGCAGCCCCGGTTTTCAGTTCTCCCACTCACCAAAAGTTGTTCACTTGACCTGGTCTTCACCAAGCACTGCTCTCTCTCCAGTCTCTCTGCTGCTGCTATCCTCTCTCTCCAGCCATGTGGCCTCTTTCTGCACCACCAATCTCCCCCCTTCCTCACATGCCATCACTCTGCCTTTCTGTGACTCCCAGTCCATCAGCACTAACTTCTTGTCCACTCTGTCCTTTCCTCCCTGCCATTGATATGGTTGTTTGTTCTCTCCGTGCTTCACACCTGCCTCCATTTCTCTCTCTGCATAGGATCTTGATGATTTCTTCTGAGAGAAAACTGGCAAAATAAGATGCGACGTATGATCCCCTACAACTCTTGTCTCCTTCTCTCAGGTCATAGAGAAATTTCTCCTCTACTCTCCTCCTCTAACCCCTCTACTTGCCCCAGAGACCCCATCTCATCTCCTGAACTCCCTCATGTCCCCTTCCATCTGCTACCTTACTCTTCTCCTTAATCTCTCACTCACCTTATAATACAAGTACACTTTGGTCTCATCTTTAAAAAAAAAAACAAAAAACACAACCCACCAGCCTTGACCCCACTTGCCTCTCCAACTACTGCCCCATTTCCCCTCAAAGCTCACTGAAAGCACTGTTTTGTTATCAGATTTGCATGTTACACTCATTTATTAGGTTTACTCTTCTGGGGGGGAGGTTCTGTAATTCTATAAATGTACTGCTTGTTTCAGAGTAACAGCCGTATTAGTCTGTATTCGCAAAAAGAAAAGGAGGACTTGTGGCACCTTAGAGACTAACCAATTTATTTGAGCATGAGCTTTCGTGAGCTACAGCTCACTTCATCAGATGCATTCAGCTCACGAAAGCTTATGCTCAAATAAATTTGTTAGTCTCTAAGGTGCCACAAGTACTCCTTTTCTCTGTACTGCTTGTGTCACTTGTGTTCTCATACAGAGCTCTACTTCTGCAAGTTCCCTCCCCATGGAGCTATCCTACAGGACCTAGGTTACCCAGGGCTGGGTTCTTCCAGCCCCAGAATCAGATGAACACACACATTAACAGAGCGCGTCTGAGAGGACTGGGTTACTCAGCACTCCCAAGCTGACCCCGTATATGTCCCTGGACTCTGCAGGCTGGGTCGAGCAGCACTGCCAAGCTGTCACCCTCATACGCCATGGGCACCGCGCTGGAATAGAGCCTGCCTGAGTGGGCTGGGTCGAGCAGCACTTTGAATCTGCCACCCTCATATGTCCCAGGTTCAGCATGTCCCTATCCCCACTTTCACATTACAATTGTTCTGGTAGTAACCCACTTGATGAGCAAACCCCACAGGATTTTTGGGTGCTGCAGGGATCTTTAGCTTAGGTATGAGAAGCACTGCTGCAGAGCTAATGAGGAAGCCAAAAAAACACATGGGGAGAGGGGTGGGGGAGAAGCAACCAGCTTAACTATGAAAGTTATTTACTGCCATGTAACCATAGAGGAGTCAAACAAACAAAACCGTTATAATATTATAAAAGTCAGGTTTAGAAAACTATAACTGATCACACAAGTCAGGGTCAGAAGGCTAGAGAGAGAGAGTGGTGATGGTGGTAGCTGAGGGTCTGGAGTGCTGGAGACAGGCAGAGGCCCCAGCGCGATCAGTCAGGAGAAGATGAAGTCCCAATAGAACTGATGCAGATTTTGGATCCAGGCATCAGAACACTTACTTGAGTATGGGTAGTGGTTTTTGTAGGGAAGAACAATGGTTCAAGTACATTAGAAATGGTTCTGAAAACACTAGATTTGTTTGTGGCTAAGTATACTCAAGGGAGTATACCAAAGTTGTTTTGTTCAGGCTAGACAATAGGAACTGATCATTCCTGGCTATGGGTGGTGTTCCTGCGAGGGAGCTCACAATGCAATTAGGCAACTTCAGTATTTTGGATACCAACAGAGGATTTATTACTAGAATCGGTCTGATAACTTCTGAGCTGGGTGTGTGCAGGCATGGGTTCATTAACATCTGGAGCAGAGATCCCGCATCATGCAGTGCTTCCCTGCTTTTCTGGTCCCAGAGTTTCATGTGGTTCTTGCCTTGGAATCTCTATTCTCAATTCTGTATGCTAATGGAGATGCCTCCCTGTCCCATCTTAGATGCAAATGAGGCTAGGAGAATTTCTGTAATCCTGTCACTCTTGTCCGGAGGGGTTTAGGTGTGATTCCCACTGCCTTTTCATTGCTTTTTATAAATCTTTCTTCTGATCGGCTTTGGTTCAAGAGAGGCTGTCGGGGAAGGAAGGTCTTTCGTGAGTCAGACAGATTGGGTACTGCGCCCTGGATCCCCAGGAACACAGAGCTGATAGGTAACAGTTTACAATCAAGTATCAGGGGGGAGCCGTGTTAGTCTGTATCCACAAAAACAACAAGGAGGCTGGTGGCACCTTAAAGACTAACCAATTTATTTGGGCAAAGCTTTCAGGGGAAAAACCCACTTCTTCAGATAGTTTACAATCACTGTCTGAAGTTCCTTTCCTCCAATTCCATCCTAGACTCTCTCCAGTCTGACTTCAGCCCCTAGCACTCCACTGAATCCCTTTTCCAGTATGACAGAATATACCTGTGTTCAACCCTACACACTATTGTATTAATTTTTGCCCAAAGCATGTCTTTTCAGGTATCATTTGAAAACTCATAATGTGCTGGTCACTATTGTTCTGATAAAATGTGTGGCAACACTGTATGTAAAGTTATAAGATTTCCCTGTATGATGTCCTTAACACATGTTCCAAGCCCCACAGCTCTGCCCAAACTGAGGTTGGCAAATATCTGTCCTAAACAAAGGAATGTCTGTTCTGCTTAATTTTCATTTAAGTAGTAAACAGTCATCAAGCAGGAAGGGAAACAAAGAAGACTCATACAGGTGAGAAAAAGCCATCAGGAAACATCTTTCCACACAGACTGTCTCCTAGTGCCCAGCTGGAAATATTTTTCAAGAGAA